CCCCGTGCACCGGACTAATTGCAAAAATCCCTCCAGGCCAGGCACACACTTGCAACCCCTCCCAACCCCGCTCTGGGTCTTTGCCCTGCACTTATCTTGCCAAAAGCAAGGGATGCCAATCCATCTTTGATGCACAGGAGGAGCACCAAGGCTTGTTCAGAGGTTCCTGCCATCGTCAGACAACTAGGAGTCAGCTGTGAGAAAGAAAACCATAAGCAATACGTCAGTTGTGTAGCATGGGGCTCAAACCCCAGTGATCCCCCTACTCAGCAGCACCCAGGCCCTACAAATGAAATGGGCAAATGCTCAAACACTCAGCTCTCAAACATTCAGGGATTGCTCACAACGAAAGCCAAAAACCTCTAAACCCTAGACACTGGTTCCTACTCTACCCAGCCAGGACTCCATACACCCCAGCAGGGCAGCGCAAGACCATCCTGCTCACAGACTGGACAGCCATCGGCTCCACTGCCTAAGGGAACTGACATGCTGACCTGAGACTCGGAGCCACATTCCATCTACCCACTGATCCACGGAGCAGGGCAGAGCAGGTCCAGGCTGACCCCAAGTGACACACCCCACACCTGTGACCACACACACCACGTGACACAGAACACGGAGCCGACAAAGGACATGACACAGACTGGAACTGCTCTGCCCTGCACACGGGAATCCCATGATAAAAAAAAAGCCCTTCCTTTGATGTGTCCAAATAACCTGTCCCAGGCTACCCCCTGCACCAGACTAATTGCAAAAATCCCTCCAGGTGAGGCACACACTTGCACCCACTCCCAACCCTCACCGGGCCCTTTGCCCGGCACTTACCTTGCCGGATCAGGGGATGCCAATCCATCGTGGATGCACAGGATTTTCACCAGGGCTGCCTACAGAGGTTCCTTACGCCATCGTCACAACATACTCGGAGTCCAGCTGTGAGAAAGAAAACCAGAACCAGATCGCATTATAGTGTGGCACGAGGGCCCCAGCCACCACGATCCCTCTACTCTCACTGTCAACCCAGGCAAGGTCCTCAGGGTCGCTGACCTGACCAGACTTGGACAACAGTCGTCATCTTCTGATACCTGAGAGAGAGAGATAGAGAGAGAGAAGAGAGACAAAATTAGAGGGCATTCTCAAAGCTTGCAGTGCATCCCCCCCGCTCCTCCCTCCTGCTGCCTCCCCCCCCAACTCACACCGTACAGGCTCCTCTCTCTTCACTGCTCCCAACACCCCCCCTGCAAATGAAATGGGCAAACGCTCAAACACTCAGCTCTCAAACATTCAGGGATTGCTCACAACAAAAGCCAAAAACCTCCAAACCCTACACACTCTCTGCTACTCTACCTAACCGGGACTCTAGACACCCAAGCAGGGCATGGCAAGACCATCCTGCTCACAGACTGGACAGCCATCAGCTCCACTGTCTAAGGGAACTGACATGTTGATGTCAGACTCGGAGCAATATTCTATCTACCCACTGATCCACGGAGCAGGGCAGAGCAGGTCCAGGCTGACCCCAAGTGACACACCCCACACCCGTGACCACACACACCACGTGACACCAAACACGCACGAGACAAAGGACGTGACACACACCAGAACTGCTCTGCCCTGCACACGGTAATCCAATGATAAAAAGTAAGCCCTTCCTTTGATGTCTCCAAATAACCTGTTCCAGGATACCCCCTGCACCGGACTCATTGCAAAAATCCCTCCAGGTGAGGCACACACTAGCACCCACTCCCAACCCCTCTCTGGGCCTTTGCCCTGAACTTATCTTGCCGAGAGCCAGGGATGCCAATCCATCTTTGATGCACAGGAGGAGCACCAGGGCTGCCTCAGAGGTTCCTGCCATCATCAGAGTACTCAGAGTCAACTGCAAGAAAGAAAACCACAAGCAATACCTGAGTTGTGTGGCATGGGGCTCAAACCCCAGTGATCCCTCTACTCACCAGCACCCAGGCCCTGACCGCAATCGGACACTGTGGATGTCACGTTCCGGGATACCTGGGTGAGTGAGACACAAACTTAGAAGGCATCTCTAAAGCTGCAGGGGATCCCCGCTCCTCCTGCTGCCTCCCCAACTCACCTACAAGGCTCCTCTCTCTTCAGCTGCTCCCAACACCGCCCCTGCAAATGAAAAGGGCAAAAGCTCAAACACTCAGCTCTCAAACATTTAGAGATTGCTCACAACAAAAGCCAAAAACCTCTAAACCCTAGACACTGGTTCCTACTCTACCCAGTCGGGACCCTATACACCCAAGCAAGGCATCACAAGACTATCCTGCTCACAGACTGGACAGCCATCGGCTCCACTGTCTAAGGGAACTGACATGTTGATGGGAGACTCTGAGCAATATTCTATCTACCCACTGATCCACGGAGCAGGGCAGAGCAGTTCCAGGCTGACCCCAAGTGACACACCCCACACCCGTGACCACACACACCACGTGACACAATTAAGAGACGAAGGACACAAAACACGCACGAGACAAAGGACGTGACACACACCAGAACTGCTCTGCCCGGCACACGGGAATCCAATGATAAAAAGTAAGCCCTTCCTTTGATACGTCCAAATAACCTGTCACAGGATACCCCCTGCACCGGACTAATTGCAAAAATCCCTCCAGGCGAGGCACAGACTTGCACCCACTCCCAACCACTCTCTGGGGCTTTGCCCTGCACTTAGCTTTCTGAGAGCCGGGGATGTCAATCCAGCTTTGATGCAGAGGAGGAGCACCTGGGCTGGCTCAGAGGTGCCTGCCATCGTCAGACTACTAGGAGCCAACTGCGAGAAAGAAAACCATAAGCAAGACGTGAGTTGTGTGGCATGGGGCTCAAACCCCAGTGATCCCCCTACTCACCAGCACCCAGGTCCTGACCGGAGTCAGACACTGTGGATGTCACGTTCCGGGATACCTGAGTGAGTGAGACACAAAATTAGAAGGCATCTCTAAAGCTGCAGTGGATCCCCGCTCCTCCTGCTGCCTCCCCAACTCACCTACAGGGCTCCTCTCTCTTCAGCTGCTCCCAAGACCGCCCCTGCAAATGAAATGGGCAAAAGCTCAAACACTCAGCTCTCAAACATTTAGGGATTGCTCACAAGGAAAGCCAAAACCTCTAAACCCTAGACACTGCTTCCTACTCTACCCAGTCGCGACCCTATACACCCAAGCAGGGCATCACAAGACCATCCTGCTCACAGACTGGACAGCCATCGGCTCCACTGTCTAAGGGAACTAACATGTTGATGGGAGACTGAGCAATATTCTATCTACCCACTGATCCACGGAGCAGGGCAGAGCAGTTCCAGGCTGACCCCAAGTCAGACACCCCACACCTGTGACCACACACACCATGTGACACAATTAAGAGACGAAGGACACAAAACACGCACGAGACAAAGGACGTGACACACACCAGAACTGCTCTGCCCGGCACACGGGAATCCAATGATAAAAAGTAAGCCCTTCCTTTGATGCATCCAAATAACCTGTCACAGGATACCCCTTGCACCGGACTCATTTCAAAAATCCCTCCAGGCGAGGCACAGACTTGCACCCACTCCCAACCACTCTCTGGGGCTTTGCCCTGCACTTATCTTTCTGAGAGCCGGGGATGTCAATCCATCTTGGATGCAGAGGAGGAGCACCTGGGCTGGCTCAGAGGTTCCTGCCATCATCAGACTACTAGGAGCCAACTGCGAGAAAGAAAACCATAAGCAAGACGTGAGTTGTGTGGCATGGGGCTCAAACCCCAGTGATCCCCCTACTCACCAGCACCCAGGCCCTGACCGGAGTCGGACACTGTGGATGTCACGTTCCGGGATACCTGAGTGAGTGAGAAACAAAATTAGAAGGCATCTCCAAAGCTGCAGTGGATCCCCGCTCCTCCGGCTGCCTCCCCAACTCACCTACAGGGCTCCTCTCTCTTCAGCTGCTCCCAAGACCGCCCCTGCAAATGACATGGGCAAATGCTCAAACACACAGCTCTCAAACATTTAGGGATTGCTCACAACGAAAGCCAAAAACCTCTAAACCCTAGACACTGGTTCCTACTCTACCTAGCCGGGACTCTATACACCCAAGCAGGGCATCACAAGACCATCCTGCTCACAGACTGGACAGCCATCGGCTCCACTGTCTAAGGGAACTGACATGTTGACGTCAGACTCCGAGCCATATTCCAGCCACACACTGGTCCACGGAGCAGGACAGAGCAGTTCCAGGTTGACCCCAAGTGAGACACCCCACACCTGTGACCACACACACCATGTGACACAAAACACGCACGAGAGAAAAGAGGTGACACACACCAGAACTGCTCTGCCCTGCACACAGGAATCCAATGATAAAAAGTAAGCCCTTCCTTTGATGCATCCAAATAACCTGTCACAGGATACCCCCTGCACCAGAATAATTGCAAAAATCCATCCAGGCCAGGCACAGACTTGCACCCACTCCCAACCCCTCGCTGGGTCTTTGCCCGGCACTTATCTTTCCGAGAGCAGGGGATGCCAATCCAGCTTTGATGCAGAGGAGGGGCACCTGGGCTGCCTCAGAGGTTCCTGCCATCGTCAGACTACTCAGAGTCAACTGCGAGAAAGAAAACCAGACACCATATCTGAGTAGTGTGGCACGTGGCCCCAGCCCCCATGATCCCTCTACTCACTGTCACCGAGGCAGGTCCTCGGGTCGCTGACTCTGACCAGACTTGGACAATGTGCTGTCATCTCCTGGGATACATGAGCGAGAGAGAGACAAAATTAGAGGGCATCTGTAAAGCTGTAGTGGATTCCTGCTCCTCCCGCTGCCTCCCCGACTCACCTCCAATGCTCATCTGCTCCCAAAGGTTAGCTGGATGGCACCTGCAATCCAAAAAGCTCAGTGCTTCATTGCTGATCCTTTCAATACTCGGAGATTACCTACAAGGACAGCTCCAGAGGAGCAAACTGTGTCCGTCACCTCACTGTGAGTTGTGTTCGGCCATCTGAGGCTGCCTACATCTCCTGCAAAAAAACCCAGAGGCAACTGTGAGTACTTAGATACTGCCCAAGAGTTTGCTGCTCCCATGGCAGTTTCTGTCTGACACCCCTTGACCGTGACCTCTTACAGGCAGGGTCCCTGTCACGTTGGACTGCACGTTAGAAGTCTGTGCACTGCCTGTAAAACAAAAAAACAAGTATGTACACAGATTCACCACAAATACACCGCCTGCAAAAGAGCAGCTAGTTTTGTCCTGCAGTCACTGCTCACCTTCCTCACCAGGCTCACCTTCCCTCTGGTGTCTATCATCTGCTGGGCTGAGGGCTCTGCATCTTAAAAAAAAACAAAAAACCAAAACTAAACCACCAAACCATCCAAATGAACAATAAACCTAGGGCCAAAAGTCATGTCTTGGCTCTGACCTCACATGACAACCCACCTTCTGACTGTGCTCCTCCAGTCTCTTCTGTTCTTCTCTGCTTTACATCCAGTCCCTCTGACGCTGCAAAGAAATGAGTTACCAAAGTCAGCCATATAGATGGAGAGACCTTAACTGCTGTGCAATTCTCATTTCTCCTTAGACAAGCCCTCTGGGGTCCAAAGACAACCTGCACAAACAAACACTGACCTAACTTTAAGGTCCTGCTGTACCGCTCCCATTGGCTCTGGACAAGCCCGCTCTCGTGACTGCACACACACTGCAGGCAGGGGCTGCCTCCGGGAGGACCGGAGAACTGCTGCCCTGAGTGGCTGAGCCTATCCACAGGGTAACTGGAAAGTCTCCTTTCTACTCCACCTACCCCCAAGTCTACACAGCAGGGCAGAGCAGTTCCAGGCCCAACACAAACTCCAAGGACACATTTCCAGACAAGTGCTGTGGTGCAACCAGGAGAGAGAACTCAGAGAGGAATGACGTCAAAATGGATGTGCTGCCGCACGAGAAGACGGAGGATACGGTAAGACTGAACGGAGGAGGCTCTGAGGAGCCTGAAAAGACACTCTAACAGAATGGCCTGGGACAAGAACTGCCTACTAAATTGCTAAGATGGATGGGAGACAATGTTATGTTCAGAATCTTCTTGGATTCTCACAAGTCCTGGGCGGTTACAAGGGATGACTGCACGGCATGGCCACCGATACAAACTGTAAGGAGGCTGTAAAAGACACCTGACCTGACACTTCTCAGATGCAATTCTGATACACATCCAAGCTAGCGAGCCAAAGAATGGATGGTATGGGCACTGGGCTGGGCAGTGCAAAGGTTCAAGACCCTAGGAATGATGCCTTGACATCTCAGATAAGAACTTTGAGGGCAGAAAGCAAAGACAGGGTGATTATGAATTGTAAGACACGAAACACAGACTGGACAAAGGACATGACACAGACCTGAACGGCTCTGCCCTGCACATCCTACTCCAGTGATGAAAAGTAAACTGCTCCTCCTATGTGTGCCAAGGGCCTGTTAGGGCAGACCCTTTCCCCTCTGCTCATTTGAAAATCCCTCCCTCCTAACCATAAAACTGGACCCAGCTCTCATCCCCTCTCCAGGTGGTTGTCCTCCACTTATCTTTCCCATAGTCAGGGATGTGAATCCATCTTCGATGCAAAGGAAGGATGCCTGGCTGGCTCACAGGGTCGTGCGATCCCTGACTCGCTCGGCTATGAGAAAGAAAACCGAAACTGACGCAAGAGTCCAGAAGCACATGGGTGATAACCCCGCAATTGGCTACTCACCCTCCCCTGAGCTGAGAGGTTCTGGGGCCACTGGCTCCAACCCGAGTTGGAGGCTGCTGCCGTCACCGTCTGCTGTACCTGGGTGAGTGAGAAAAAAAGTTACGTGGTGTTTCTGAAAGTAAGGGAGACCCCAGGACCTCCTCATTACCTCCCTGACTCAACCTGAATGCTCCTTCTTTGCCAAAGGCAGGCCGGATGGCACCCGCAGCTGGAAAAGGTCGAGCCTTAATTGATGACCCTGGTAGTACTAGGGGATTACTCACAAGGACAGCTGAAGACCATCAAACCTAATTGGCAGGTGGCTCCAGCCCTCTGAGGCTGCACACATTCTCTGCAAAGTAAAAAAGCCAAAGGCAAATGTATATACTGAGGTACTGCCTGAAAGGATGGCTTTCCTGTGGGAGCTCCTACCTACCTCTCCCGGACCTCTTACCGACAGGGTCCCTGAAGCATTGGACTGTCTGTTAGAAGGTGGCAGAACCCCTGGAAAACACAAGAAACAAAGCACGTGCACAGATTCACCACAACACCTGTAAAAGACCATCTAGTCCTGTCCTGGAGTCAATGCTCACCTTGCTCACCCGGATCACCTCCCCTCTAGTGCCTAGAGCCTCCTGGGACCAGCGCTCTGCATCTGAAAACAAAGAAAAACCAAACCAAACCAACAAAATCCTTAACACATCAAATAAATGTGGAGCTAAAAGTCACATCTTTGTGCTGATGTCAGGTGATGACCCACCTTCTTGCTCTGCTCCTCTGGCCTCTTTTCTGTTCAACTCTGCTTTACACCCTGTCCTTCTGACATGGTAAAGAAACCCTAACCAAAGTCACCCAGATAGATAGGGAGAGCTGAAAGAGTCTCCCTTCTCTTTTAGTGAACCACCCAGGGTCACTGCCTGCAGCCAAAGACTGCAACTGTAATCACACAGAATATCTGGGTAAATGAGAGGAAAACTTAAGTGGTACATCTGAAAAGTCAGTGGATGCCTTCACAGGCATTTAGGGGGCTCCTGGACACTGCTTTCCACCCATACTACCTTCAAAACACCCCTAGCAATTCCTAAGCTGGCACCTGACCCCTCACTCCATCTCTGGGCTGTAACCCCCCACTGACTACTTGCAAACCTGCCTGTCTGTAGCCATCTTCAACACAGAGTAGCTTCACCTCAGGACCAGATAACACTTGTGAAAAAATGCCAAGCTGCAGTTGAGATGATCGGGAGATCCCAAAAGACGGAAGGTTCCTAAGGAAAAGAAAAAAAGATAACAAATTACAAAAGCACCTTACCAACACAGCACACAAAATTATTAAATTTAAAAACCCTGCATTTGAGTATAATCCTCTTCATTGCCATATACAGCTCTGCTTCTTTGGATGCCAAAGCTGATGCTTCAATAAAGCAGAAATAGCTTGAGAAGTTCCATTCAATAAAAGAACAGGAGAGCTCTTATCCCATTGAAGCCTGGCTGCTGAATGACCTCCCTGGGCAAAGGCTGGGGTTAATATACCCCTGGCAGTGCCCACCTCCCTTCCTGTGAGGCCCCGGGGGAAAAAGAGTAGCCCAATCCAAGACAGTATAAAGGCTCTGGGAGCAGCAGCACCTGGTTTGCATCTCTGACTTAAAATCAGGATAGGTAAAGAGCCTGACGGAGAAAAGGACTCCTAACGTGAGCAGGTATTATAGTTGGTATTGGATTGAGGGTTGGTATTGGATTCGGGCAGGGGCTGGAGCGGAGGGACTGGAGCAGAATAGCGGGAGTTGGAGCGGCGGGGGCTGGAGCGGCGCAGCGCGGGCTGGAGCGGCGGGAAGGGCAGCGGCGCGGACGCGGGCGGGAGCGGCGGGAAGGGCAGCGGCGCGGACGCGGGCGGGAGCGGCGGGAAGGGCAGCGGCGCGGACGCGGGCGGGAGCGGCGGGAAGGGCAGCGGCGCGGGCGCGGGCGGGAGCGGCGGGAAGGGCAGCGGCGCGGACGCGGGCGGGAGCGGCGGGAAGGGCAGCGGCGCGGACGCGGGCGGGCGCGGCGGGAAGGGCAGCGGCGCGGACGCGGGCGGGAGCGGCGGGAAGGGCAGCGGCGCGGACGCGGGCGGGAGCGGCGGGAAGGGCAGCGGCGCGGACGCGGGCGGGAGCGGCGGGAAGGGCAGCGGCGCGGGCGCGGGCGGGAGCGGCGGGAAGGGCAGCGGCGCGGACGCGGGCGGGAGCGGCGGGAAGGGCAGCGGCGCGGACGCGGGCGGGCGCGGCGGGAAGGGCAGCGGCGCGGACGCGGGCGGGAGCGGCGGGAAGGCAAGCGACGGCGCGACGCGGCGAGCGGCGGGAAGGGCCGCGCGCGTACGCGGGGCGGGAGCGGCGGGGGCTGGAGCGGCGCGGACGCGGGCGGGAGCGGCGGGAAGGGCAGCGGCGCGGACGCGGGCGGGAGCGGCGGGAAGGGGAGCGGCGCGGACGCGGGCGGGAGCGGCGGGAAGGGGAGCGGCGCGGCGCGGGCGGGAGCGGCGGGAAGCTCAGGAAAGCGATTTCCTCTCCTAAGTCCTGGTTCACCTGCCCGAGCACCTACAGTGTTTATACTCCACCTCACTCTCTGCTTTGCACGTTTGTATCAATAAAAGAAACTTCCAAGGTCTTCCTCCAGTCTGAGCTGCATCTTCTCTGCACCCCCACACTCTCCCACCTGTTCACATGTGCTGCTCCCCTCTCCTGCGCTGCTTCCTGGAACAGGGCTCATCCCTCGGCACCTTCCTCGAGCGATAATCCGGGTACATCAGGTGCTTCCCCCAGCCCCTGCGAGATGCTCTCACCATCACTGCTTGAGAGATTTCCTGGGATCGACTGCTCCCCTGCAGAAGCTCCCTATAAAAAGTGCCCCACCGAGCACGGCCCGCCCCTTGTCACCCTCACTGCCCACACCTGGGGCTGTCCCGCCCCTTGTCACCCTCACTGCCCACACCTGGGGCTGTCCCGCATGGCAGGGAAGGACGGGTGGAGCCACAGGCGAGCGCGCGGGGAGAGGAGGCGGGGCAAGCCGGGGGGCGGGGTCGGCGCGAGCAGGAGGGAGGGGCAGGTGCCCGCTCCGCTTCGCTGTGGGCTCTGGGGTTCTTTTGGGCTGGTTTTGGGGGACTGCGCACACCCTCCCCTGGTCACAGCCCCGCCCTAGCTCGCTGCACCCAGCTGCACTCCCCGTACCCCTTGCTCAGCTCCGCGGGGATTTGTGCCTCCTCTGAAGGTGGCAAATGTCTACAAAGCGAGTCGGGAAGCCAGAGAGCTGCAGCCCCCGGGCCCCGCCGCGGCTTCCCCGCCGTCACCCGGCACGTCCTGCCCCGCAGCACCGCTCCCGCTGCCGCCCTCGAACACAAGGAACAAACCCCCGTGCCCCCAGCACAGGCCGGTGGCTGCGGCCGGGAGCGGCGCGGGGCGGGGGTCCGGGTCGCGGCGGAGGTCAGGCAACAGGATAGACGCCTCTCTGAGGCGAGGGGGCCTCTCGCCGCCATCTTTAGTGTGGCCTCGGCTAAGTTCCGGTCGTGGCGGCGCCATCTTGAGTGTGGCGTCGGGGCGAACTTCCGGGCCGGGGCCGCCATCTTTAGTGTGGTCGTTCCGGTCCTGGCGGCGCCATCTTTACTGTGGGCTTGGCGGACTTCCGGGCCGGGGCTTTGGAGGACTTCCGGTCGCTCTCTACTTCCGGTGACCGAGTTTACCCAAATTAGCGTCCCTCCTCGCTAATTTCTGCGCTTTCACCCCAAAAAATCTTCGTGTTATTCCCCCCACACACACCCCGCCAGAGACGGGAGACCGCGAGTCCCGCCCTGCCGCCGGAACCGGCCCTTAACTCGAGCAGGGAGCGCTGCACCGCCACGAGAGCCACTGCGCATGCGTCGCCGGTCCCTCTCCTGGCTGCCCTTACTTACCACGTGATCGCCGGCGTCTTGCCAACGACTGCGCACGCGCCGCCGTCGCCACCTTGCCTGCCCCCCCACCCCGCCGCCCGACCGCCCGGCTTCGCTTTCTTACTGCGGCTCCCCCTCCGCTTTTTCGGCTCCCTGGGGTTCCCCCACCCGCATTTTGGGGTCCCCGTCTCACATTTTAGGGGTGATGACCCCGCAATTTACGGGTCGGGGGGCGGGAGGAGAGGAAACGGGGTGCCCAAGAAGGGGTTTCTTTTTTTTTTTCTTTTTTTTTTTTCTCTTTTATTTCATTTTCATTTTATTTCCTTTTTAGTTTTTTTGCCTTTTTTTTTTTTTAATTTTCTTTTGTTTTTTATATTTCCTTTTTTATTTCGTTTATTTTTTATTCTCTTTATTTTTCATTTCTCTCCCAGTGCTCCCCAGTAAACACCCAGTGCTCCTCAACAACCCCCAGGAACACCCAGTGCTCCCCAAAAATTGACCCAAAACCGACCCAAATCACCCCAAAAGCTGACCCAAAACTGACCCCAAAACCTGACCCAAATCATCCCAAAACTGACCCAAAACTGACCCCAATCGTCCCAAAAGCTGACCCAAAACTGACCCAAATCACCCCAAAAAATAACCCCAAACTGACCCCAAAAACTGACCCAAATCATCCCCAAAACTGACCCAAAACTCTGCATTTATTTGGCACCATTTCCTCTCAGAAACAACATCTCCGATTTAGTTGATTGCTAAAGCCATCATTTTAAAATCATCCCAGGAATCAAAAGGGACTGGAAAACACACACAAATCATTCCTGCACCCACCAAATCATTAGGAATTGGAACCCGATTCCCTCATCTCTCTCCTTGTGCTTCTTGGCTGGAAAACCTGATGATCCCCGCTGGCTATTTTTAGGCTGCTTTTCTTCCACAGCTCCTTTCCTCCCGGCTGAAACCTCCTGGCATATTCAGGGCTTACCTGGAGGGAAGCCCCTCTGAGGTATTTCCTCTCGCGGCAATTCTGTGGGATGAAGAAGTAAAAAAAGCACGTCAAGAGCTCCTTCTACCCCCTTCCCTCGCATACACCCTCCCAGTTTGTCCTTGGCAGCTCCATCCCCCCGGCACCCGCACCCGACGCTTCGGCTCCGCTGGGAAAGGGACAGCAAGTGCAGAAGCAAGTTCAGTGCTGGGCAGGGGCTCCCTGGGGAACGGCACTTCAGTGCTTTAGTCCGTGGCCTTTCCTGCTGCCCTCCCTCCCGGAGGCAGAGGATGACCCATCCCTTGTTTCTCCCACGCACGCAGACCCAGGTCCTGCTCCTTTGGCCCCACTTTTCTTAGCAGACCCGGCATCCTTTTCCAGGGTCCCCAGGAAACTTCTGCACTTGACCCATTGCTGAGTGCAGAGCACAGGGCAAGGGAAGGACAAATTTCTCGGCACCCACCCCCTGGAATTTTCCTTCTCCGCAGCACGCTCCCGTTCCCGCTGTCTCTGGAGGTGCCCGCACGAGTCCTCCTTCTCCCAGCACCTCAGAGAATGTCCTCTTCACCCGGGTCCTGCTCGCCGGCGTCCAACAAAACACGCTGACAACATTTTTCAGGATGCCAGTGGAGAGATATTAGAGCACACTGCACAGGGAAGCTGAGCCTGCCCCATCCCTGCAAGTGTTCCAGGCCAGGCTGGACGGGACTGGGAGCATCCAGCCGGGGATGAGAGCGGAAGGTGTCCCTGCCCACGGAAGGCAGGCTGGCCTTTGAAGGTCCCCTTCAAACCAAATCGCTCTGGGATTCCCCTCCAAAATCACTACCCAAGAGACACAGCAAGCAAAGCAGAGGGACTGCACTCCCCGCTTTTCTTACCTGCAGGCACACACAGCACAGCACGTTGGACAGAAAAGCCACAGGGTTAGTCCTGCCAGAGGCGTCCGGCACACCCACGGCGACCGAAGGAAAAGAGGGAGCCTGGGAACACGGAGTAAAAGACACCTTAATTAGGAGTACACTGAGCAATAGCCAGGTCATTCCCACAGCTTCACCGTCCAGTCACACAAAAAGCACTCACCGAGGCCTCAGTTAGGATGGTTCCTGACGCTGACCAGGTGAATACCTCCCTGGAAGCCCGCTCCGCTCATGCCAGGCACTGGGGCTCACCCAGGGGGGCTTTGCCAAGCATCCAATGGAAATTAAAATTACAGCCTGGGCAAAGGCGCTTCCCGCAGGACCGCTCCTGGCCAAGGCCACCGGTCCGTGCAAGTCAGACCACTGACCAGCCGGGGGGATTTTTGGGGGCACGCTTCCAGCTTTTATTCTCCAGAAACTCCAGTTCTTTCTGGCACCTCTTGCTTCAGTCTTCCCCTGTTGGAAGAGGTCACTTAAGGCTTTCGAGGGACCAGATTGCCAAAGCCCGGCCGGTCCATTCCCACGAGGAAAGGTAGCTTTGTCTTGGACAGGATACTGGGGGGGAGACACAAAATAAAAGTTTAATGTAAAACAACTGCCTAGAATAGAAAGCAATTCAAACATAAGGCAGACAAGACTCGTGCAAATCTGAATCCATTTGGCTTCAAAGGAGAATTATTTCCCTCTGCACCTAACAGAATGTCCTCTTCACCCGGGTCCTGCTTACCATCGTTGAACAAAACACGCTGACAAAATTTTTCCGGATGCCAGTGGAGAGATATTAGAGCACACTGCACAGGGAAGCTGAGCCTGCCCCATCCCTGCAAGTGTTCCAGGCCAGGCTGGACGGGACTGGGAGCATCCAGCCGGGGATGAGAGCGGAAGGTGTCCCTGCCCACGGAAGGCAGGCTGGCCTTTGAAGGTCCCCTTCAAACCAAATCGCTCTGGGATTCCCCTCCAAAATCACTACCCAAGAGACACAGCAAGCAAAGCAGAGGGACTGCACTCCCCGCTTTTCTTACCTGCAGGCACACACAGCACAGCACGTTGGACAGAAAAGCCACAGGGTTAGTCCTGCCAGAGGCGTCCGGCACACCCACGGCGACCGAAGGAAAAGAGGGAGCCTGGGAACACGGAGTAAAAGACACCTTAATTAGGACTACACTGAGCAATAGCCAGGTCATTCCCACAGACAGCTTCACCGTCCAGTCACACAAAAAGCACTCACCGAGGCCTCAGTTAGGATGGCTCCTGACGCTGACCAGGTGAATACCTCCCTGGAAGCCCGCTCCGCTCATGCCAGGCACTGGGGCTCACCCAGGGGGGCTTTGCCAAGCATCCAATGGAAATTAAAATTACAGCCTGGGCAAAGGCGCTTCCCGCAGGACCGCTCCTGGCCGAGGCCACCGGTCCGTGCAAGTCAGACCACTGACCACCCGGGGGGATTTTTGGGGGCACGCTTCCAGCTTTTATTCTCCAGAAACTCCAGTTCTTTCTGGCACCGCT